CATGAGGCAATCAATGATAACAATCTTGAATCGTCTGATATACAAAGTGATCCTCATGGTAACAGTGCCACTCATTCTGCATCCATTAGAGTCTAATACTTAGACTTTGTCTCCGGCATGTTCCTCTAGTGATACAGTCAGACTTCAATGTCACAATCCACTGTCAATCTGCAGATGTACATCACGTTGCAAATTACATGCGAGTACATATCCGATGACGTCCGCGCGTCTGATTGATCCCATTTAGTTCTGTTCTTCTCCCCAGGAGCAAATCCTCGGCATTGGCAGAACTGGCCTAATGGTCCGTCAAGTGACGTCTCAAGTGGAGCACAAGTAGCGATGAAGAAGTGGAATGTAAGCTGCGTCAAAGTTGGTCTGAAGCTAGCAGGAGATGAAGATTCCCTGTACAGTTCCGGAGGGATCCGACCTACCAACCGAGTCTATACCCACTGCTTGTTTCCAAGATGCGAGACAAATGCACCACCCCATCCGCTCTCGATGCTGGCCTTCTCCCAGACTGCTCTGACCTGCCGGACGGATTTCTCCGGAGTAATTGGGCCCTTGAAGTGAGGCGCATAGGCTACAAGCTTGCCCATGAGCTTTGTCAAGCTCTCGATCTCTTGCGGACTGGCTGTGGGTCTGTGTTAGTAGAATATCTAGATGTTTGCACACCTTCCAATGACGGCGGGAAGGAATACATATCACATACCATCTGCGTAGCGGCCTACCTCCACTAAGCCTGGGCTGATACTCATGAAGAGCACGCCATCCTTCTTATACTGCGCATTAAATTTGGCGACAATGATATTCATAGCTGCCTTAGAGGCAGCGTATAGAGCGCCAGTCTCAACCTCGTACTCATTGGTTAACTCAAGGTCAGCCAACCCAGTAGAAATGGTAATGACCTTCTTGACCTTGCCCTTCAGGACAAGAGGGAGGAAGAGGTGGAAGAGGTGGATGTTGCCAGTAACGTTGGTTTGTAATAGCTGCGATGACACGACCTCGAGCTCCTCAACCTTATCACTCCTGTTAAACACATTAGCATCAAGCAGCCTGAACCATAGCCAGAGGAAAGAAGACCTACAATGCGCCGATGGGTCCATAGGCATCCAAGCTGGGCACTAAAGCCCCGTTGGCCACCAGGTAGTCAATACCCCGCTCGCCAACAATCTCAGCTGTGTCGGCAGCGGCTTGCTTTAGGCTGGCGTACTTGGTGAGGTCTGCGTAGAGGATGTGGACATTAGGTCGGTCCCCCAGCTCTGCTATCTTCTTCTCAGTGGCAGCTTTGTCGCGGACCAGACCGATGACGATGTTCTCCTGGTCTTCCGAGAGCTGCCTGAGGAACTCGAACTAGGCTGGATTAGATACAGACGGTGCATCATATTGTAGAAGACCCACCCCGATTCCCCTGGATACTCCGGTGATAACGTAAACGGACATGTTGAGCGGATGAGAAGTGATCTAACTTGGATGGATTGTGTGAGAGAGAGTGTGTGTAGGATGCAATAAGGAGCTACCTAGTCTAGGCTTTTTGCAGAGTGAAGCGTAGCATGTCTATAGAGTTCAATTCGTTTGATAGGAAGAAGGTCTATAAACAATGAATAACTACAATATGCTGGGTGCTTAATAATACTGCTCGATTAATAATAATGATAGAATGGGATGGAAGGTGACCTGTAGGCTGTGGGCCTAGATAGTAGTGCGGTATGGAAGCTCTTTGTTTCTAAGCTTGGTGTTTTTACCTCGCTATGCAAGGCCAGTGCGTACATACATCCCTAGTGACTTACATGCGTAATGAGTGGTTGTGAGACAACTATCTTGACAGGAAGAGCCCACTAACACCATATGATGGTTGGCAAAGGACGCATCAAGTCGATAACATTGGTCAATTATATGGCGACCAGGCAAAGCGGCAGCCAACATCAAGCTTCGAAACGGGTTGGCCATCTTGGCCTCCTGTCAGTAAGCAGTGGCTTGGCTAGTGGCAGCTAGCGTCTACATCGGCGCAAGGCTGGAAAGAGAGTATGAAGCGGGTATATCAGACTAGCATATACAACAGGGATGTCTCCTAGCCACTGACCACCGACCCTCGAATCAGGGAATCAACAAAAGACCTAATGGCCTGACGATGCACCCACGCCAATCGCGTCGCATAATATGTCCCTCCCCCCAGGAAGCCCAGCACCAAGCCCGAAACCGCCATTAAATCCCAATTCTTCGCCTTGTACATAGGCATCCGCATATCCGCCGTCTGGAGATGCATCGGCCGCGTCTCCTTCCCATCCACGACCCTCAGCTCCGTATCATACAAAACCTCCTCGATGAGGTCCGCACCCAGCTGCTTGCGCTTGGACGCCACGTGAGCGATCCGCTGGAGACGTAGGACATTGCGCGCGTAGCTCCCGTCGCGATCCTCCAGAATTAGCTTCATCTTAGTGTAGACTTCCTCCGCCGTGAAGCGGAACTTGTGCAGGACCTCGGAGGTCCCGCCGCCGGCCAGTTTGGCCGCGTTGCCGATTTGGTCAAAGAAGAAGGGCATGACGAGCATGGGTTTGCCGTGGTAGAGGCCCTCGTTGGCGCTGGATCCGCCGCCGTGCGTGAAGTAGATTCGGGCGTGGGGGTGATCCAGGATCGACCTTTGGGGCGCGAAAAAGGGGAATAGCCAGTCGGCATGTTTCCCGTCCAGGAGGTCGCCGAAGCAGACGGTTTGGCCCGCAATGGTGAACTGATCTGCTGTGTCGAAGAGTTGCCGTCCGCTCTTGCCGACGGACCAGATCACGCCGTCGATGAGCCCTGCGTCCATCGCCTGGATGAGTCCTTGGATGATTTTCCGAACATCCGCCTGCGGCAGGATGATATGCGTCCCCAGCGCGACGTAGATGGTTTTCGCGTGCCGGCCTAGGAAGTGCTGGTGGATGTCATCCAGCGGGGGATATTCATCTGCGAGGATGGGCCCGACGGTGGCAACCAGCGGCGGGAGGTCCTTGGGGACTTCCAGACCGAAGAACGAGTTCACCAAAAGCAGGTAATCCGGTTTCGCCGGGGTGGGAAGCAGATAGTTCAGCCCCGCGCGTTTGCGCATCGCCTTGGTCCATTCCCTGAGATTGAGGGCCTCGGGCAAGGCACGCACCACCACCAGCTCGTTGTTGATCCGGGACCACATGGACGCATCCTCCGACGTCAGGGTCATGTCCAGCTGGAAGCCCGGCTGGCCGGGGATATACGAGCAGGGCACCATCAGGTACGGCATCTGCGGCCACACCACCGCGATGGGCAACTTGTACTCGAAATGGATATCCTTGACCGCGTCGACGAAGAAGTCCGCGACCATCATATCCGGGCGCGTGGCGGGATCGGCCATGATCTCCTTCAGTCGATGGTATGTCTGTGTCCACAGGGAATCAAAGAGGTATTTGGAGTCCATGACATCTGCCAGTCCTTTCGATGGGTCCCAGAGCCGACTTCGCTTGTAGTGAGCGTCGAGCTGTTCTTCTGTGGGGCCTGGGCCCATGAGATGCGTGCGGGATACAGGGAAACCGTCTGTCCATTTCTCTTGTCCATCGAGCGTGGCAAAGTCGATAACATGGCCTCGATTGGCGAGGATCTTGCCGAGTTCCAGGACGGGTGCTAAAGACGTTAGAATATATGGATCCCACTTGTGCCGTAGAATGCACTCACCTGCATGCGTATAGCCTCCTCCCGTAACCACCAGGAGGATCTTTCTTGACGGAGTAGTGATTTCTGGCATTTGTAGATTAGCACCAGGATTTATCTCCAGCTTTTTTTTTCTGGACAAATTAAGCCGCCTCTGGGTTCGAGAGGTTAAAATACCTTGATAGCCCGGATCCTCGGATGGTCCATTGGGTTACATGTCTCGCCATACGGAGTAGGAAACCCCCGAATGACTCCGCTAGTGCCAGGATTAAACGCCAATCAATACAATATGACAGTGTTATATACAGGGATTATAACTAGCTAAGATGGTTTTGGAGAGAGAAATACCTGTGCTTGCTGATTTATGTTTCCACAGCAAAGAGATACATTCCACTCTGACTGACTAGCATCTTCATGACCATCGAGACTACCACCTTGCGACTGGGATGTTACAATGTCCGAATTAGGCACTAAATAACTATGACTAGAGCATTGTATCGATTAGTTTGGACTAGAGCCTACGAGGTAAATGGTCGTTGATATAAGATCCCTTATGCTTCTAGGGCTTAGGGCTTGGCGCTGTCTGTCACTGCTTACAGCCTGGCTGACAGGATGGCTAAGCAGGCCAACCCCGTTCGAAGCGTTATGTTGGCGGCCGGTTTGGCCACTATAGAAAGGTTCGCGGCGTCGTGGTCGAGCAACACCATGCTGTGTGCGGTGTTTGCAGCAGGACCTTCCTAGTCCTTTTAGCCATCCAGGAAGAAACGGACGAACTCCCCAAAAGCCAAGATATATTGGGTAGCACTAGGCGGCTACAAACGGCTGCAAGTAATGTCCCTTGTCCACATACACCATCTCCTACGCATCTGCCACAGTATTCGTCCTGGAGACCATCGAATGGGTGAGCTGGGTGATCAGTGGGTGCTTCTGCTGAGACTAGACTCCCTGTAGCCCAATTTCAGTGCTGTCAGCCATCAACCCACTACACCAAAAAGGTGTCTAGACAACCATTTCTAGCATAGTAGAAATGATAGGCTTTTTCTGGTTGACACTGCCATAGATGGACTCAAAACATGGTCGTCAGCAACCTTGCAGTGTTAGCGCTAGCAAGGAGCAATTATCAAGCTGGTTTTGGATGAGATGAGTAACAGGGTGGACAATGTCGGAACAGCATCCACCTTAAGTCCGTTGATACTGCCTGACTGTCTGACTGACTATCTGTCTGTCAGATCCATTAGGTTTATAGGACAGTTCCAAGACGGAGATCATGCTTAAATCCGGGCTGGCCAATCATAACCTGCAATGGCACCGTTGTTTCTGTATCTATAATCTATATCCTGTCAGGTTCACTGCCTGCCCTCGTTGTCCTCAGTCTCATACTCCTCATTCTTGTCCTCTTCCTCTTCCTCCTCAGAGTCCTGATAGTCGTCATCCCTGCTCGGACGTTCCAATCCATGCCTTCTTTCGGTCTCTTCCTCGTCATCTAAGTAGTATAGATCACGAAGGATCGTAAGCTTCGTGATCATCTCAAGGGGGACATGCCCTATCCGAGGGCTTCCAAGAGCGCTAATTGCTCTACGAATAATGGGAAACGGGGCGCCGTGCCACTGCTTTGGTGCTTGAATGTGTTCCTTGAACAGGATATCCTCCAGATATACTCTCTTGTACTGGCCTTTGGGAGACATATGCGACCTTGCCCTGCTTGAATTGGTAGCGAGCGTATTCATGTGCCATCGGCACCCTTCTCTTGCTGCTATCGCCTTGCCGGCGAATCCTGTCCCTCAATTCAAAGCGTATAAAAACGTCCAATTCGCTGGGCACGAGAAAAAGCATCGGGTCCAATGCTTCATCGTACGAACGATGGCAATTACTGCAGAGGTCGACAGCAGGGGTCAAAGTTAATTAGGCCTCGTTCCTCCAAAATGTCGATCTAGTTTTGCCGTTAGTCGTTAGTGGTAATGCACGTATCGTGTCGCTAAATTGGGACAGTACTGATTCATCACACTCTGCAAGTACATGGACTACTTGGGTCTTGGCTTGTCCGCATGGCCGACATCTCTTCATCTTCTCCTTGATGTGGGATGGAAAGGAGCCAGATACGGGAGTTAGCTGTTGATGGTCGAGGAGGCGTTGCAAGTCCTTCTGGAAGACATTATCAGTATCGCTTTCGGGGCTTTCGGGGAACACCTGACGAAATGGGAGTATAGAGCTGTATAGCAAGAACAGAGCGCAACTTACTAGACTGCATCATATCCTCGAACTGTCGTAGTCCGTATGGAGTGTAGTCAATTGAATTTTCGAACTGTTGTGATCTGTAGGCAACCTCAGCATGCATTGTCATGTAGCCTTAGGAAGGAGCGACTGCTTCCTACAACAGAGCTTTCCATTCTATGTTTTATGCGTAGTTCACAGCGTTGACCTAACGGGCACTCACATTGATCAAGCAGCAGGAAAATGCAATGATATGATGACGGTTTTGCAAACCCTCTATAAAACTGTGCGTGATTGCGGCGTTGACTGCTTTGTAATGGCAGTCACTCAAAGCAGAAAGGGAAGTCTTATTGCTACCTAGGTCATGGACCCTTGCGAGCCTCTGAGGGTACCTTGACCATAAGCATCTTAATATCAGTGAAATAGCTAAAGCATGCATATTCCACTCTATTGGTGAGAAACAGAGAGTAAAAAAGTGTAGATATGTAAAGAATCCAATACTATAAGGCAAAAAGGTGTCTAATGATAGACTCCTTAGCCTAGCATTGTATATCCATAATCATAGCAGTATAATATTTTGAAAAGATAGAAAGATTTGAGGCTCTATCAGTGGTTTATGAGTAAGAGAGAGTGAGGTAAGAGACATGGAAGTAGGAAGTGGGAGATGGCTATTTATCTATAATTAAAACCTCTAGATGCTCTCTGAGCCTTTATATAGTGAATACATCTTTATTAAATAGGTGAATACTTAAGTCCATCACTTGAGTCTCCTAAGTATGTGAAGAAAGAAGAGAGCTATATATAAAGAGAGAGAAATTAACTTAGTAGATCATCTTTGTAAATTCGCTGTGTGCAAGATCAGATACACATTGCAAGACATAAACGAGCATCTAGCATCCATCAAATGGTCTTGACAATGGTTGTATCAACTCCGTGCATGCTGTCAGGGAATTTGCAACCACGACCAGAGCAATTCTCCCGCGGGCAACGATGTCCACAGACGCAATTCACGTCATGACAAAAGATATCATTATGACAGACGGATAATCTGGCAATATATGTCAGATCGGTTATCTCCGTGTCACTGAGGGGTGGCCCATGCTTGTGTGTGCAGTTGTTACCGTAGGGGCATGATCCGAGAAGATGAAATTGGTTGCACAGTTTCTTGCGCTTCAGCGTCTCTACCTTTTCCTTGGACGAATATCGCAGGGGATGGTCCACCCGTTGGCCTCTGGCATTCACACATACTGGCGGCCTTAGTTTGCTCGTTCCATGCGATGGAGCACTCACGACCGGTGATGATGATTGCGTCGGAGGAGCTGCCTTCGCTGCTGAGGCGTAGTTGGGAGTAGGTGTCCTCGGGGGTGTAATAGCGGTAGTTGTAGCACCAAAGGACACTCTTCTGGCGGTTTTCAGCTTGCTCGACATGAACACATTCTCAAAGGAGTCCGTTTTGAAAGTCGCTGCTAATTCCGCCATCTCTTGGGCAAAGGGGGGTCCTTTGACCAGCGAGACGCGTTCCGATCCTCGGTGTGCGCTGAGAACACGCGCATGGCTATTGTCCGCGGAGGCGCAGAAGATGATCCTTCGGCAGTGTACGTCAATAATATCTTGCTCAAAAAGAGCTAAAAATCGAAGTGAGTTAGGTTGGTCTATACTTTTCGGGCTCAGGGGCTGACCTCGTAACTTAACATCAGCGCATTCCTTTCCATTTCCTGCATCCACAAAATCACATAATGCATTCTCTTGATTGAAACCTTGAATAAACGAGGTCAATGTTTCTCCAGCACCGAGAATGTTGTTATTACGATAGGCCTCCGTCAGGCCTTCAACATTAGCAAACACACGGATCTTGCAGCTGATATTGGGCGGTGCTTCTGGGTCGACTTTCTGAATATGATCTTGGACAGCCTGGATCAAGAGCCGTGCAGCATCCAGACCACCATGCTTCCCATTTTTGACGAGGTTCCCATGAAACTGGAATCGGTCAAATACGGAGACTCAAGGAGTATCAGAAATAAGGTGGCGTACATTCATGCCATCTCCATCAACCAGAACAGAAACGAAACTCAGCTTAGCCTGAAATAAAGGTGTCAGGGATGGACGGCTTTAGATTGAACAAGATGAATGAATAACCCACCTGATCACGGCGCATATTCTCAAAGTTCCTGATCTCTTCCTTGAATGAGGCTATAAGCCGCTTGCGATTATCAAGCTCATCCCTCTCAGCTCGGAGTTCCCCAGTAAGGTCATCAATATAAGAAAAGAGATCCTATATCTCGATCTCGTAAGTTATGTGGTATACCTTTTTAGATGTCTCTGCAAAGCCCACAAACCTCAATGATCTTATCCTTGCTATCCTCAACAACACATACATCACCGTACCGTTTCTTCACTTCTGCAATATCAAACATCATGGTAGATTTCCAAATAAAGTATCTTGTAATGAGAGCGATTGAAGAGCAGATAAGGATATGTTCAGAGTCAGAGCAATGTAAAAGAAATGTGAAAATTGGAAGTCAAGGAGCCACATTTTAAAAGCACAAAGGGCGTGGCACATCATCGTGGAAGCGCCCAAAAGGCACACTCCCCAGCCTTGTTACTTCCCCAGCTGGGCAATTTGCTCACTGCGCCGCAGAACGTCTAGAGTCGTTGTTATCCAATAAATATTTAGTAGTGCATGCCAGCGTTCTGATGAGGGGTAGATATCATACTGTGCCGCAGCTTTGCTTTTCATAATATCTACTTCGGGAGTTACATTGGCTTTCAAAGCCTCAATGTTGCTATGTGATACAAATATCGCTAGGCAGCAGTGCATTGGCCCCTGGTCATGATATGGCAAGAATAGCATAGTATTCAAAAATTATAGTGGCAGCGCAGTGGTTTACTATGGTCCTGTTATATGCATGAAAATCTAAGAGATAAACCAGTCAAAGTGCATGTATTCAATGCTACTCTTGTCCCTATAGTTAATGGGTAATTTCGTGTGGAGATAGAACATGCTGCTTGTCCTTAAATACTGCCAGCAACTGATAGAGTCCATCGTTTCCAACGGAAAGAATAAGTCTAGTTTCTCTGGGATCAAAGCAGATGGTAGATCCCCGTCTATGAAGACGAGCCAAGCAAGTCTTTTATACACAGTTAGCGGTCTCGTAAATACATTCGGAGCGCAAGTTTCAGGGATGCTATCCTCAATCAACATTGGGCCTTGTGTTTACACCAGAGTCAATCGCCATGCTAGATATCCTTCGCCTCTAGGACAAAGGCTTGAGGTTTCTTGTACTGCGGTAACTGCACTGTGCCACTCATGCAAACAGCCATATATAGATCATTTAGTAGTTCTTTTCTTGCATAGTGTTTAGCAACCTAGCCTACTACAACGTTGCCTCCAGAAGCTGAGTCGCAAGGTGGCATCTTTCACTCTGAAAATATAGGATGTTCCGGGTACCCTGAGGCTCTGATGATAATTTTTGCGCTCTCCAAGATCCTTGATTTACTGTTGCCCCTAAGGTCCTGCGCGGTAAAAGCACCATGCGTGTCCTCGAAATCAATATCCTTGATTGCTTTCCAAATTCCATGGACATCATCTGGGGGGAGCGGGATCTACTTTGGTTAGTCTATTGACAGTATCGGGGACAATGGACACTTACATAGTTGGGATACGACCACATGAACGAATAAGAGACAGTACCAGGGGGTCGGTTCACGCGGTAACGTCCACTGGGAACAATCATAATGGTATCCGCAATCATAAGCTTCTTCGCTGATTTCCACCACAGAACTGAACTGCCCGGGAAATGGCCTCCCGTCTTGATGGCGACGAAATCAGAGGTCTCATCCCCTGGTTGAGCTGATTCGAGTCCAGGGCTAGGAAGAGAGAGTCTCTCCCCCTTCCACAACTTCAAACGGCGTCCATCGCCTCTGTTGGCGACCCATTCTTCATCTTCTGCCGAGATGTATAAATCACAATTAAAAGCCTCCGCCCACTGGATGCTGGTGGAAAAGTAGTGCGGGTGCGAGATGACAATGGCCCGGATCCCTCCTAGAGAATTAATGTGTCGGATTGTCTCGTCATCGAGATATGTGATACAATCCCAAAGAACATTGCCAGAGCCAGATCCACCAAGGCAGAGAAATGCTCGTTGACCAATGGCGAATTTTGGCGCAGTTTGGATGCCGATGAGGTTGGGGTTCTCGGGGTCGGTGGTGAAGACATTGTGATACTTCAGAGGTGATTCTTGAAGAGAGCGCAGTGTTGTCCAGGATTGCCTTTTCATTAATTAGTACCAAGCTTTCCTCGCTGCCGACCTGCAAAGGTGGAAAGGGAAGCAGGGATTACCCGGATGGAGGGACATATTGTCGTGGATCATCGCAGATCTTGCAGGACTCCAATCCGGACGTCGCTTCATACTGGACGCCGCAAGTGGAGCAGACCAGGAGGTCTAAAGCAGAGGGATCCATTATGCAAGGTTGA